TATACCCATTGATGAATGCTTTCAATTGCAGTCAAGTGACAGAACTGTTGAACCGGACGGGCATACCGTCAGTGCATTTGTTAGGCCCGCGTCCGGCCACTCATTTGGACCGAAGGAGTGGTCGGGGAGTCTCTAATCGACTGAAAGCTTTGGAGTATTTGCGGCAGAAGTACACGAATACGAGTGAAGAAGGGGTCATATATTTCGCGGACGACGACAACGCCTATGATATCAGGATTTTCGAGGAAATGAGAGCAACCAAAAGGGTGTCTATGTTTCCGGTGGGACTCATCGCCAAATTGGGTCTCTCAACGCCTATAGTCAGCAATGAAACGGCAAAAATCATCGGTTTTCACGACCCCTTCATAAGTCGTCGTAAATATGCTGTAGATATGGCCGGATTTGCCGTCAATTTACAGCTATTCCTCAACAAACCAAAGGCAACGATGCCTTACAAAGTGGGCTATGAAGAGGACTACTTCATCAAAAGTCTTGGCGTCCAGTTCCATGATCTCGAGCCCATGGCTAACAACTGCACTCAGGTTTGCCTCCTCCTCCTCCTCTCCTCAATCGATGACAATAATTGAAACCAAATCATTGATTCAGATCCTCGTGTGGCACACGAAGACATCTGCAGGAATTGCACCCAACTATGCATACCTCACGCATCATAAGGACTACAACACCACAAACTTACCACAACTTTACGACAATGTATTCAAATCAATGGGACTGTAGTTTGCAAAGTGAACACCAATTGTAATAATTAACTCAAATTTAGTGCCAATTAATTTCATTCAATACTTAATATTTATTTATTTATTAATTGATAATAAAATATACGACAAAATGACAAATCAATAGAAATGGAGGGAAAGGCATGTAATAGTGAGTCCTTGTATTCAGATGTGTGTTGGCCCTAAAAAGGGCCGTTTGAGTGGACAGGGATGTCCTTTGGTGTTCAGAGTGGTCTAATGAGTGGTCTACTTGCTTGAGGTATATTTGGTGACAGCTTTGGTGCCCTCAGAGACGGCATGTTTGGCGAGTTCTCCGGGAAGGAGGAGACGGACGGCGGTCTGGATCTCCCGGGAAGTGATAGTCGAGCGC